CCCCCCCCCCCCCCCCCCACTGAAACTTAATTGATAAATATTGGTCATGGCGTCAGACTACATTCACCATTAAATACAAACTGATAATCGGACAGTGGGTGTAAAAAGTTTTTACAAATGCATTTGACGCACAGCTTTACACTCGAACCAAACCATTTTCTCGTCTTGGATGGGTTTTTTCCTTTTCCGTTATTTCTGTTCATGATTGGATAAAAAAAAAACGAACTACAAATACTTCAAGATTTTTTTTACTTCATTAAAAAATAAAATCGTTTTTGTAGGATGGAAACTTTTTGAGGTCGAAACCCCCCACCCCTAAACTAAAGGAAATAAGTTTTTTATCTGACATCGATCTTTTGACGTCGTCCCTAAGTTGTTCTGTAATCAACGGGACCATTCTAATTCAGGTTTCAAGTACACTGTTGGGTCAGTAAACTGTCAGAAAACTTAACCATTCATGGCCATTTTAGTTTATAATACGCGACCTTCAAATTTTATTTTATTTAAGATATCTATTGGTTACACATTAGACACTGTAAACTACCTAATACATGTCTTCTTTTTTTCAGAATTTGGTGTTTTTGTTGATGAGTATGGTAGACGTTCTCGCCCAGAAGACCTGAAATGGACTCGTCTTCCATTAGCGTTTGCATATCGCCAGCCCTACCTTTATGTGACACATTTCAATTCATTGGAAGTGTGCGAGATCCCAGCAGTTGATGGTGACGAGAAGGAAGAGGAGGAGAGGTAAACTAATTTCATCAGCAGTCATCACTTAGAGTTTGTTTGAAAAATGTATTTTTATGTTGTACGATTTGCTCCATTACCATATTTCCCTGGTCATAAGCCCCTACCTAGGTATAAGCTCACTTCTTATTTTTAGACGTTTAACGAGTTGAAAGTGTTTTTACCGTGTGTTGTCAATGGGTTAAAATTTATTAATTAAACTTGGTTATTGGACATCGTTTTACTTTTTCACTTAATCTGTGTTCATTGAGCCTATCGTGAATGGGGTGTGAATGGGTAAACTATTCTTTGACGCGAAAGGTGCTAAATACTTTCCCCACACTCAGTTTACCTTTCAAAAATTGCACCCTTTTTTCGTCCAAATCAGTGCTAACAGATCGTACATTCGCAATGTGTTGAAAAGATTACATCGTCAGTAATCGAAAATTACCGGAAAAATTCATCAGTACGAAATTGCATTTTGATTGCTTAATGACGGACTTAACCTGTTACGTCAGAGGATGTTGTTTCAGGTGAAATCATGCTGAAAAACATAATAGTTGAAATTGCTTTGCTTGTGTACAATCAAAAACTTCCCACAACGAAGATAATGATAAAGTTCTTGCGTTCGTCTGTTTTCCCACAGACTCTAATCATTTTCACACCGTATATAAATCATATTGTAACATATTAATTGTTGGTGGCTTAAGCATGTTGAATTTTGTGATCTCACTGTAGTGCAATTATTGAAGTGATGAATTATTATTGGCAGACTGTATTGTAGCATTGCATGTACCCCAGATCGTATTATATTGAGACAGATTGTCGTATCAGTGTTATCTACACACACATCAATTGACAGTGACTCTACTTTTCAAGTCATGTTTGGATAGTTAATTCACAGTTATGCATTTTCTTTTTTTAATTTCAGTGCTCACACCTTTATGGAGCTGGCAAATCCACGATACGTGGGTCCAGCACTGACTAGTGGAGCAATCTACATAGCCACGTATCAGGAAGATATGGTAGAATTACTGTGTTTACAAGGCAATATATGTCAGCATAGTGATGAAAATACCACCATGTCAAGCTCTGACGACAGTGTATCACTCAGAAGTCAGTTGTCAAGGTGAGATTTGTAGTTGTACATTTCTGTGTAAATGACGCATCTTTTAAAAGCCCTATATAATAAGCTGTAAACAGTTGAGATCAGTTTCTTTTAAGCCTCGCTGCTATAAAAATGTTTTTCGTTGACTCTTAGGTCATTACATATACATATCTATGTGAAAAAAATACACAAACCAGAAAAAGTGATCATCATAAATACAGATTATTTTGTGGCCGGATTGCTTAGATGAAATAGGCCTTACAGATATTCCATATTATTATACATCTGTCATCGTAACGCCATAAGTTACAGGGTGTTGTAATTTTACAGGTATTTTCATCCTAACATACAAGGAAATGTGAATTCCAAATATGGAATGACTATGCCCGTGAGCATCCTCTAATAATAAAAACAAACATGGCTGCCACCTGGGTTTGACCGGACTTCGAAGTTCGCTGATTCTGTTCTAAACTTTTTGGATTTCGGCATTCCCATGATGTATCCTTTGGAGAAAAAGATGTA